GGATCCTGTGGAAGCAGGCGTTCCTGGTGGGGCCACAGGTTCCCGTGGGAAGGGGGTCCCATCAGAACTGGGGGTCCTGGTGGGGCTACCAGGGGTCCCATGGCTATCAGGAATATGAAGCAGGGGACTTGCAGTGCTTGGCCGCCCCGGGTGGGCCGAGGGTCCTGTGGGAGTCGGGGGTCCCGATGGGGCCTTCAGGGGTCCCGTGGGCGTGGGGCCTTGACCTTCCCGGACGGTCCAGGCTCAGGACTGGAGGGTGCCAGGTCCCTGGGGCGGCGTGGCTCCCGTGGCTCCCGGTCCGCCTCCGCCTCCGCCGCCCTTGAAGCAGGCAGACTCATAGTGCTTGTTCAGGTAGGACTTGAGTGCGAAGGTCTTGGCGCAGCGCTTGCAGCGGAAGTGCTTGAAGGCGGAGTGGGTCTGCATGTGGGCCCGGAGGTTGGAGCGGTCGGCGAAGGCCTTGCCGCAGTGTGCGCAGCCGAAGGGCTTCTCCCCGGTGTGGGAGCGCATGTGGCCCTGGAGCAGCCAGGGCCGGCTGAAGGCCTTCCCGCACACGTCGCACTTGTGCTTCAGGTCGTGGGTCAAGAGGTGCATGGCCATGGCCGGCATGGAGACGTACACCTTCCCGCACGTCGGGCAACGCTTGGCCATCTTGCTGTCCAGGCTCCGGTGGGTCTGCTTGTGCCGGCTCAGGTTGGACGACGTGGCGTACGTTTTCCCGCACTCGCTGCACGTGTGACGCGGCTGCGAACCCGGGGGGTGCGGAGGAGCGGGATGATGGGCTTGCTGATTCTGCTGCTGCTGCTGGGGGCCCAAGCGGGAGCCCGTGGGACCCCCGCCGCCTCCGCCTCCAGCCACCGCCGCCTTCCTCCTCGACCGCCCGTCGGTGATGAAGAAGGCGTCCACCGCGTAGCCCTCGCTCACCGCCGCGTCCCCGTTGATGTAGCCCCCCGACAGCTCCGAGGGAGGGCTCTCCGGAGACGCCGAGTCCCCGGACCCATAGTCCACGGGACCCCCAGCCCCACCGCCGACGGGACCCCCGGGGCCGCCGCCTGGGCCTCCTCGGTGGTGGCCCCCCGGGTAAAGGACGCCCCCTGGTGGGGGGACTTTGAGACCGCCGCTTCCACCATTGCTCTCGCTGCCCTCATAGACTGAGACTGCCGAGGGGGTGATGTAGTCGCCCAAGTAGCCACCTGTGGGGAGAAAG